ACCCCCCCCCCCCCCCCCCCCAAAGGGAAATATTATGAACATGTATATGTATGTATGAATATATAAATAATGCCTACAAATTGTTTTGTTACGGTGTAAGCAGTCGGCCCCGCTCAACATATTAATCCAGTATATTTGCTTGGCATCAACCTTTTATAAAAACGCTGGCTTTTCTTAAAACTTGGCACCCTATCAGAAATAAGCACACAACACAGCAAGTGTAAGTATGAATGATCTAAAAAACGCTCTTTAGACCAGTGTCGACGGCGTTTCAGAACTAACATTTCAAACAAGTGGATTGCACGCCAAGTTCTGATCTTTACTATCTCAAACCTAGTTTGAAGAGGACAGAAACTTCACAGAATTGTCCATCCAACCATTTTTTAAAAACAGCCTGCGACCTACATACATGCAGCAGAAACTAACCTGAGCTGGCGCTTTCGTACATTTTCTAACAGTCTCCTTCCGTCCGTCATTTTGAATTAAATTCAGATGTCCCCCACTTAAAATAGACCAAAATATAGTCACGTGCGTCACGCCTAGATCATGTAAACAAGCGAAACGATCTTTTAGATTTGTACTCACTAACACTACATTGCCCGGTTATCGCGCGAAGATTAAATCCCTACCTAAAAGATGTAAACCTAATCTAGCTAGTTTGAAAATTGTTATGACTTTTTCGTTTTATCCAGAAGAAAAAAACACACGCTAAAATGAACTGTCTTAGCGGAATGCGCAATCAAAAAAAAAAAAAAAAAAAAGTTAAACATATGAAGTTCAATCCATCCTCAAGAAACGATTTCATTCTGGCATAGGTACGTGTGATACCGGAAACATTAGAAGTAAATTGACGCCATTTAATCTAAACAAATAAAGATAAAAGTTAACCTATATTTATACCGTATCCAACATCAGATACATAAGATACATACCAAACAAAACCAAATGGATTTTGGGCAGGTACCGTTTGAATGAAACGCACCATCTACATGTACTTCGTTCTCTAGGCTTTCGTAGATGTCGATCAGTCGTTGACTATTGGAAAATTAATGTCACTCGTGTTATTTCTCTCTCTTAATTCGCTTCAAGTTTGTTATTGACTTCGAGCGTCTGTAACTTATCAGATTTAAGCCAAGCCGTTCATGCAATCGCAGGAGTTTGTTTTGTCACCCGTCTTATAAAAGGGGCGATGTTTATTAACTACCTGAGCCTCACTGTGGCTCACTACCCCTTCAGTTGTAATCATAATCACTGTATTGATAACGAGACCTGTTTGTGGAGGATGATTGTTTACAGCTTGGACTCGCACCCTATGGCTGAGATTCAGGTCAGAGGTCACGCTTATTTTCATTCATACTTGTTTGCTAGTAGCCACTGGTCTGCCGTAGACTGGACAACCGCCAAATGCACTCTCACGTCAGCCTCTTCATTACTAAGGCAGTTAGTAAAATGTAGAAGAATAGTGTATTGTTTTCACAGTAAACGTTAAGTTATGTACATTTGTTACATTTCAACATCGCAGGTGGTGCGAGTCTTGGGATCACTCTTGCGTACCTGGACTATTAGTTTATAACTGTTCGAGATCAAGTGCCCTAAAGTGAACGTTTTAAAGCGCTTGGTTTCTTATCGTTATAGAATTCCCTCAGATATATATGAATGGTAAGTGTCAAGCCTACATAAAATCCATCTTGGACAGTTTCAAAAAAAATTCTGAACAGAATATTATTATAAATCAAATATAACAGATGTAAAAAAACTCTACCAAATTGTTTTTATTCAGTGCAACAGTGCCGCGCAATTTATTTACTTTAAAGCTTATTTCATTTGAAATATCTTTATTAATATTAATATTGAATCACCTATATTTATATTAACGCCAACGTTGAAAAAAAACTAGTTTTGACTACAAGGAATGGGAAAGCTGGGTTGAAGGTGTACCCTAAGAATTTTGCAGCACAATACGTTCCATATTTAATTTGTCATGCAAGAAAAACACTTTTTGGTGACGTGGACCAAGTAAATATCCTTGTGAAAATTTACATTGTAGATTGCATCCAACCTTTGTACTATGAACGAGGGACAATTGCCGAAGCTTCTCGTATTTCTTAAAGACATACAGTTCCGCTTAAGCTGTTTCCAATTTCAAAACTATCCTTTATGCCTTGAAGCATTTGTTGATATAGGGAGCTACTTGTATCTCAAAGTAAACTATTTTGGAATTAGGCCGTACTATAATGCTAGCCCAGGGCTGCCAGGCAGATCGAATGCATCGTAAACAAGATTACGTCAACGGGTCATTCACCTACAAATGGGACAGGTATAACACATTTCATGCTGTTTACGTTTTATCCATGCAAGACGAGAAAAAGGCGCAGAGATTTGAAACCGGGGTAAGATAAGAACTGAGTTTGACACATCGTTCATAGTCATAGATTATTAGATTTATTAACTAGACAGCCATGATTTAAAAAAATAAAACACAACCGTGTGTGAGCTTCCGTCGTGGGACTAAACAATATCAAGTATTTTTTAGTTTTTTAGCAAAAGTATTAAAAGGTTATTGCATTAATCAATATCACAGAGAGTGAGATTTGTATCAGAGATTTGTATCATTTGTTGAAGCATTTTGACAGGAATTCGATATTGAACCTAGTTACATGTATGTACACTGTAGCTGTCTTGATTAGATGAATGCACTGTAATGTGCTTGTGTGTGTGAATGTGTGTGTGTGTGTGCACGCACGCGCAAGTGTGTCTTACACACGAAAAAAAAAACACTGCTGCCATTGTCTACCATAGAGCCCCCCCCCCCCCCACACACACACACACACACACACACACACACACACACACCTTAAAAGTAATACATGCACTTTACACGTTTGGTGAATGTAATTCATTTAGATCATCACACTAATACTATTTCAGTTTAAATCTGAATGCTTTTAATAACGGAGCACAGAGCCAAATATTTGCTTAATAACATATCAGGTGTTTTATCAGCTCTTGTCCTCAGCAGAGTGGTCTTTAACTTCTGGTTTCTAGGCAGTCGTCGGGTCACTCTTTCTTTTCTCTTAATCTTAACCCAGAAATACATGTCCGCTGATTTCGTAAATATTTTCACTCAATACAAGTGAGAAGAATAACTGAGCTCCAAGATAACATTGCATCAAAATGGCATCTACAGTATAAGCCTTCGATTCTTGTTAAAGGTTTTAATTCTACCTGACTCGTGGTTAACCCGTGAGGACAAATGTCAGAAATAGAGGTGATTTAATGAGTCGGAATGTTTCACCTTAGAGTTGGGGCCACGGACACTGGGTTTCCTGTCAGGCCTTCCTAGCGTATGGTATCATGAAATACGAAAGGAGTGGTTATAAACTTGCGTCTCAGGGTGAGTCGTTCACTCTGCAAGCTAGGGCTGCGGGTGGGAGGGGTTCTTGTATAAGGATGAAGACGTAGGAATTTTTGGATTTCTCTTGCTTTTGCTATTACATTACACTGACTGTACTTTTCCTCTGCCCAAAACAAATTCATGTCCAGTTTCAAAAAAAAAAAAAAAAAAAAAAAAAATCGAAATAGATGGGAAAAGCAAAATAATACGAGAAAAAGGCTTTTGAAGGCACGTGTATTCTTTCAACTGTAATATCGCATATGACATATAATGAAAGTAATCACTTTTTTGCATTTAGAGTTAAGCACACAGCCCACAAATAAAACCTACAGTAAGACTATTCATTATGTACAAAGTGGCGATTGTGTTAGTTGTGCATCGTTTCCAATACTGTTGTGGCGACGCATTGTGCAACCTAAGCTGCCGGTGTAATGAAACTGAGGGTTTCCCCCCATCTAGCTATAACGGTTAGGGTTAGTCTGACCTAAGTGGGTCCAAACCTAGGGTGAGGTTCACCTGTACAATTGAATGGGAAGCGGATTCTCTATCATGGGGAACTCTCTGTCACGTTACACCGGCCAAGTAAAATTCCATATGCCTACGTGCGTTAGTGTATCTTTTTTTTTCTTAAAACGCCCAGTTCTTGTCGTCAAGTCCTGGCTGGTTTCAACAAAAGGCAAATGTTTCGTTTCTTTGGCACATACAAGATGTAAGAGAAATACCTTCGACCATGAATATTGCAATTTCTTTGATAAGACGAAACTACATAAAGTTCACGAATGAAATATCAGGCGCTTCCTCAGACAAAAGTTATTTCTTTCTTTCACCAAAGAAACATCTCAAAGAAGTAGCTTATCAAAAGAAAAATAATAATAACAATAAATAAAGCCACACAAAAGGGAAATTCATTTTCAGACACCCTGTGGTCTTTGGTGGTGACACCGAAATAAAAATATCCGATAGGTCTAAAAATAAATCCCTAAACAAAAGTGTTTGTGACATTTCGGTATAGTCTGACCACGTGTCCTCTTAAAAAAACAGACCAAAAACAAAAACAAACCTATGCAATCAGAAAAATCCTATATTATTTTTTTCAGAAACGGGATTAAAGTTGTGGCTGACCCACCAATAAAAGAAAATATCAAAAGTAGCTAAAAGCGTTGAAAATAAATTTAAAAAAAAACAAGATGTTAAAACCTGCCAAACAGAAAAAAAAGACATCAAATTAGTGACCGCATCAATAACAGTTAAAATCATGGCAGAAATGACCATCCAATTCTTGCGCATTCTATCCAATTCCAGTCAATTCAGTTAGAAGATTTTCAATGGAAGAGTCATTTGATGTCATTTGAAGTTAAATGATGACAAACGTCGTATGGAGGATCGATTCAGCCACTTTCTTTCGTTTAAATATACATATTTGAAGGTGAAAAGTGGATTAAATTAACCTACTGTCTCCACGGTAAGAATCAGTCATACGAACATTCTTGATTTAAGGTGCTTTTATTAAAATATTACTTCAAAACGACAAACGCTCAAATGGATGAATAGAATAAACCTATGCTGAACAACACAAAACACATTTGGTGTTTTCTAAGATAGACCATGGTCAATGAAAGGGAAAGTGGAAGGAAGGAAGGTAGATTGATAGATAGAAAGGAAGGAAGGAAAGACGAGTAATAAAACAGAAAGAAAAGAATCATTGACCGATATCCCCAAGTGAACGAACCGCTGAACCGCGTCACTATTCACAGTTGATTATCGAATGCCACATGCTGTTTACATAAGCTACTTCAGATTACGCACATCAATGAACAGCAGCCGATCAACAACTTCAACTTTAACGCACTTAGTTTTCATCTGGTAAACCCTTCTTGCATCAAAGAAACGGGATCAAAAAGGGCTTGATAGTGAACAAAGATACATGTATGATAAAATACATATTATTTAAGAAATGCAAAGGCCAATACATTAAGTCCAATTGTCGTATTCTGATATACTCCAAGCTATCTTTGCAGGCCCATGAATAAATCGGCATTTTTTTAGTATGTTGGATGGCAGTTATAAGAGCTTTCTACTGCAGATAGAGTCTTGTTCACATTATTGTTATATCAACCCATTCGTTCATCAGAGTAAGTGGGTATTATTGTATGATTCTGCACCCATTGAACCCCTCCTGCCCCCCCTACCCCCTACTCTCTCTCTCTCTCCCTTCTCTCTCTTCTCTCTCTCTCCTTTTTCTCTCTCTCCTCCTCCCTCTCTCTCATTCTCTCTCCCCCTCTCTCTCCTTCCCTTCTCTCATCTCCTCCTTTTCTCTCTCTCTGTCTTTCTCTTCCCCCCCCCCTCTCTCTCTCTCTCTCTCTCTCTGTCTCTGTCTAAATCACAGGCTTCAGACAGTGACTGGTGCAAGGCGCAAAATAACAGACTTAAATATATACACTTAACGTCGAAGATGTATATTCGTCTTTGGTCAGAACAACCATTAGTTTTCTAAACACAATAATTTCAGTCTGGGGCCACACCCTGCGCGCCAGGTATGTCAGCAAGGAGTGGTACCAACGACTTTTGTTTGTCCGCCTCCACAGCCGAGGTCCATGTGTTATTTTTACCAAACAGAGCCAGTGTTTTGACTGCACTGTGTCCGTCAACAATACCGTGACGTTAAAACACACGCGTGTATGATTAAAAAAATAGTAGGGTATTTAACGAACGGTTTTGTTCAAATAAGTCCTGCCACTCTAGGCTAATCTTCGTGACACGCACTTATTTTTACCTAGTACCCTAGCATTGCAGTCATATACTATCAACTCACGCTGTCGTTCACTAGGAATAATGCACTAAAACAGGTGACCGAGACATGGAAGGATTTCTTCCCTCTGCCAGAGTCGAAGATAATTATGTGCACTTTTCTCTCACAGTGCAAAAAAAGTGTCATCATTTAACCTAGAGACATATCTGTAAATATCTAGAGAGAAAGCATTCCTTGGCAACGGTAGAGGTTAAAGAATTTCTATGTAAATTTCTCATATCGGAATTTGTGGAGGGATCTATTGTGTAGTAACAGATTCAGCTATTCCTCATAATAATAACAATGATATTTCGCTTAAAATAATAATAATAATAATAATAAATACTGTTGTCATTGTCCCATTTCCTAATAAATTCCATTACTTCCTTCATCACTATGGTAAGCCATAACCCCACACATTACAGTGGAAAGAACCAAAAAACTGTTTTTGAGTTATCAATTTCTAAATTTTAACTTATGCCCTCTTTCTTCAGTGACTTACAAAACTGAAAAGTCAAAACTCAAAAACAAGTTGATTGATCGTAGTTCTGTGAATGTTTTTGAAAGCGGTAAATTAAGGGAAAATGTTAGAATTTCCAGTAAAGTTCAATGTCTCATGTACAAAGGTTCTAGACAATGCACACTGTACCTCTGTCTCTACATCTTGCACGAAAAGTTTATCAACGATTTTCCAGTAGTCCCCAAGAGATTAAGTCTTTACCGAACATTATAACTTACACACAGAAATTTTCCAATGAACAAAAGTTTTCTATATCAATATTTCCTTTACTCCATTGGCTGGAATACACATTCGTGCATTCCTTGTTAATTCAAGATTTGAGACTTTATATCTAGATAAGACTTTATATCTCTAAGATACTATAGAAGTGAAGAGTGTTTGATAATAATTATCAATACTACAAAATTTCCATTGCTACTAATAAATTATTGTCATTTACAGAGAGCTTTGAATCAGTTGAATCAGATCAAGATAGGTTTCGTAAGTTCCTTGAGTAATGGCGAATCTCCTGATACTTGGGGGGAGAGAGAGAAAGAGAGAGAGAGAAGCTGAGACCTTTTTCACATCGGGCGGTGCAGTTAACTGTAGTTTGACAGACTGGCAACTTAATAGCTTCTCAAGATAGCGAGTAGTCGTCAGACAGAGTTTCAGCTACGCCGTTCCAGTGTGTGTAAAGAGGCCCATCGTAGTAATTGGTGTTGGCTCACCTGTTAAAAGTGGGGGTCTTCACGACCAATAAGGCGCCAAAAATTTACGAGAGTCTAGTCAGTAAAAAACGGATAGGGCAGCTAGAATACGAGTTCCGCTTCATTAAACGAAAATAACCAACGGGTTTAAAAATAGATCCAGTAACAAAGATGTTTACGACCTGCCGAGCTATGGCGGCCACGTGACCTCTTTGAGAAGAAAAACGCAGACGACCAGAGAACTCGGGCACACAAACGCCAAAAAATATGAGAGAAATGTCATCACAAATTCTTACCTTTTCTGTCCATTGCCAACCCTCGTAATTCGTATATCTTGTTCAGTGTCTGTAGTCGTTTAAAGTGTCCTTTTTGATGAGAAATTAAAAGAACAGTTTAAGAACGGTACACCATTGCCCGCCGCCTTGAAGCCATTGAATACCTCAGTGTTCAATGTTTACACTATGGCAGCTACCTTAACTCGGGTCACGCGGGGGGAAGAACAGGGTGGGGGCACTGGCAGCTTTAAGCAGGCTATAGAAGACATTATTTGTTTAAGAATTATTTCAGTTGGATTATGTTCTCGATTGTTTAGGGTTATTCATTTGAGAGCACCCGAAATGCGACTGGTTGGTGATGCAAAATCGAGCAGGTATTGGACGACATTCATAATTAAAGCTTGGAAGGTACAGCAAATTGTAGCGAATTCTTTTTTTCTACATACCGAGGCACAAATTTTGAAAAACGATGTAGGTCGTATGTGTATAAACGACATCCAAATGTAAATCAGAGAGATGTACATAGGCTTATGACAAACAAGGCTGTACGAGAGAGAGAGAGAGAGAGAGAGAGAGAGAGAGAGAGAGAGGGGGGGGGGAGAGACCTCTCCAGGTGTATTATCGAGTGACACCCCTAGGCAGTAAATCTGATACAGCGCCGGCAATGCTTTTCAACGAACAATACCCCACGCAATGTGCCCGAAAGTTTTACGTGTCCTTTGTGCTTGTCCTTAGACATTATTACCTGGCCTAATACGCTAAGAAACTTGGATACAATGAATGCTTAGAAAATCTACGTGCCTCAATTGTTGGTTCAAATGGAGATTATTTTGGGATAAATCTACACGCAATTAATTATATGCTTATTTTAATCGTTCGAGTGTGTAAACAAACACTGATAACGTGACCAATGAGCATGCGTGGTTTTAATTACATTGCAATATGCAAGAAAATGGACCTGTTGCCAGCATATATAATCCGTATTAGTTGCGTCAGATCTTTTTTGCTCTAGCGGGCTAAAGAAGTTGAACAAAGTGCAAAGACATATCGCGTCATCAATCATTGGGGCCTCAAATAAAATAGTTTAGCACCCTTGACACAAACGTCTTTTTATTTCACATGTTCAACTTATGAAATTTCACGACCTTTTTTTATCTTACAGGTGAAACTATTTAGTATCATACACTGTACCAAATGTTTTTTTTTTGTTATGGGTGTTTTGTCTCCTATGCTGGGGGATTATTATGCACGCTGTAGCCTATGAATTTAGAACTCGGTATGTTGAGCCATCATGGGCGGAAAAGAGGTGCTACCTTTACAATAGCTACGGTTACAGCAAGGTTGTCTGTATAATATAGAAGACTGCTACTACTAGTACCAGTTTTTCTTTTTATTCCATTAGTTAAGCTTTTAATTAGATTAATCAATTATAATTATTTTAAAACTATTTTTCTATAAAATTTAATTCAGTTTCTGCATCTTTGGTTTACCGAAAATTATACTTGTATTTAAACTCACTTCTGACTATACTCATGGTAGAGGGTAACCAAACCCCCTTTTTTGGCTATATAATAGGTTACTTTTGTGTGTTTTTTTGGTAATAAAACATTGCCATATTTACCAGTATAAATTGAAAATTAATGTGATCCTTTGACAAAATAATATAATCAATCAAAATGTGCTCCTTAAAAGTTTGCATTGCTGTTGGTAAACTTGTTTTGCTACGTGTACAGATTGCTTTGAGGGACAGTAGGCGTGATACCATCCTTATTGCTAAATTTCTTGTGTAGGAAAGACCCCATCACGGGAGGGGGGGGGGGGGCTAATTCACCTCCATCATAATAACAGGGTAGATACCTAAACCGTCACCGCTTTCTTAATCAACCTTTCAGGAATGCCATCTCGATGGGATAAGTGCCAAAAAGTCAAGTGCGTTTTTCTAATAATTACAACAAAGGTTCTAAACAACTACTTGGCACCTTGTGATTGCTCCGTATTAAAATGTCACCTTCAGTCATTGCCCCATTTCGGTTGAGTTGGCAGCATCAATATCGGTTACTATTGCTGGAGTAACACCAACACAGTGCAACAATACACGTGCTTGGATACTGTTGCAATATAGTTACAAATAAGAGAGAGGGGGAGAGAGGAGGGTGGGGTAAGAAAGAGAGAGAAGTTGAAGAATTTCTATTTACAGTAACGTCTTAAAACATCCTTCGTTTATTTTTTTTTGACTAAGAAAATTTGAAAACTGAGAATTATAAGGTTCTACATATGCCCATTTTTGCTGTTTTAAGATATTGGCAGTTACATTTTATATTGCTTCCTCTAGGGGGACTTTTAAAAATTCGATTTGGTAATACAGTGTTCCAACAAAGCTGCTGTCAAACCCATGCAAACTGTACTACAGAGAGAGATAGAATAATACCAATTGAATATCTCCGAAAGCCAAACACGGAGATTGAACGTAATAGTTCTCTTCTCTTGTCAACTATGTGGTTCTAGCCAAGAATGAATATTTATTTTAAATTACGCCTATGCAATTTATGTGATACATGAAAATTGTTTATTCTAAGCCGGCTTCTTAAGAAAAAATTGAAAGTGATTTTATGATTGATTGTACTATTGTCACCTTTCCAATCGCCGAAAAAGAGCAAAATTATCATTTCAAACCCGATTTTAGGCGACAGATCCAACTTAAGTGCAAAAAGAACATGGGAATAATTAAATTTTCAATACTGGAGGAAAGAAATGAAAAAAAATAATTAAAAAATGAAAACTAAAAATAAATAAATAAATAAATAAATAAATAAAACTAAAAATAAATAAATAAATAAATACAGCCTGACATCTCAGTAGGTACACTGTATATTTATTTATTTATTTATTTATTTATTTATTTATTAACGTGACATGTGAGAGCCTCACCCGGCCTCATGGGCCTACAAGTCCCCGTATAATATTGCTATAAATAGAAGTCTCACAGATACCCAGACACTGCCCACCTTCTAATCTCCCACACATCGTTACATTGTAACAGTTTGCCGGCTGGCGACATTTACATAACACACGTGTCTGCCTTGTGGTCACACGGTTACTGCCAAAGACTGTCAACGGTGAAATGACCAAGTGCACTCTTGTTTTTGAAGGGTGGATATACAATGAAAATGCATGATAACTGTGAAATAACCACTGTGGTCACGTCACTCAGTTGTCAGAGTCTNGTTACATTGTAACAGTTTGCCGGCTGGCGACATTTACATAACACACGTGTCTGCCTTGTGGTCACACGGTTACTGCCAAAGACTGTCATCGGTGAAATGACCAAGTGCACTCTTGTTTTCAAAGGGTGGATATACAATGAAAATGCATGATAACTGTGAAATAACCACTGTGGTCACGTCACTCAGCTGTCAGAGTCTAAATTACGGTTGTCACTTTATGAGCTATATTATTAGGGTGGCAAAAACTATAGAAGTCAAAATGAATGAGACAATAAAGGTTGGACTTACATTTGCTTTGGGGCAACGTGGGTAATGAAAGCGAAGACAAGTAAGAGACATCTCTACTTTTGATATTCCAAAAGTAATTTTTTCGCTTATATTAGTGATCTTCCCGTTGTTTACACTGCAACATTTGGACCCGTCTACCCTTGTGTGCAGAAGTTCCAGCTTGCTCCTGTTCACGGGTAAACCAACGATGACCAGCTTTAAGCCGTTTCTCCTCCTGTTGGCTTTGAGCACTTGCCTGCTGTCAGCGGACGCATTACGCAAAGTACCGAAGCTCGCGAAGCCGTCTCGAGAGTTGGAAAATCTGTATGAAGATGTCCTAAGAAGAGAACTTCAAGACGTTCTCAATGAGAAACTTTTGGAACTAAGAGGGGTAAGTCACGTGGTTTACAGCGTTTATCACTCAGTTTTATTGTCTTTTAAATCAATGTCGATAAGGATATTTGTTATATTTGTTTGTTAGTTTCTGTAGTTCGGTGTTGTCTGGTGTTGATTTGTAGTTTTTATTTGTCCCGTTGGATCTCTTGCGTCTACTGCGTCGTTTTGAGGAAGGTCGCTATCAACGGGATCAAAACGGGATAATTGACACTTGGCTCGTACATGTATTTAAACTAACTAAATGTATGAGATAACCTAAGTTTTTTTTATGGGGGGGGGGGAGGGGGGGATCTCGTGACACAATAATTTGCGGGGTAGTGCAGTAAGCCGAAGTTGTGATAGTCATCTCAGCAAAGTAAATATCGGTGACGGTGATGAGTGTAACATGAAATTTTTCAACACTCGAAATACTTGAAAATATTTTAGTACATATGACAGCGCGTATGTAGCACTTCTTTGGCATTCCGTTTTCCTGAATGTATGCCTGTGGTGTTTTTTTACCTAGATTAAATTTTCTATTTTTGTTTTGTTTCTTAAATCATCAAGTGTAACANATCTCGTGACACAATAATTTGCGAGGTAGTGCAGTAAGCCGAAGTTGTGATAGTCATCTCAGCAAAGTAAATATCGGTGACGGTGATGAGTGTAACATGAAATTTTTCAACACTCGAAATACTTGAAAATATTTTAGTACATATGACAGCGCGTATGTAGCACTTCTTTGGCATTCCGTTTTCCTGAATGTATGCCTGTGGTGTTTTTTTACCTAGATTAAATTTTCTATTTTTGTTTTGTTTCTTAAATCATCAAGTGTAACACGTGGTTAAATAAACTAAATAAATATTTATTTGATAAATACAGGACATTTTAAAATGTGCATTATGGTTATTTCATGTCAGAAATCATCTGACAGAACACACCAAACAACAGTTGTTTTCAGTCAATTTGTAAACCCGCTTTTTTTAATCAAATTAATTCAAATTTTTATCATACCAGTCCCAATCAGGGGTATGGGCTACGAAACTACGCCGATTCGCCCGCCTCTTCGACAGTGACGGCGACGGCATACTGACCAAAGCCGAGGCGGTTGGACAGCTAGTGCAGGAAGTACAGAGCGCCCTTGACTCGGAAACCGCTGACGAAATTACAGACACTATAGCCGAGGCATGGAGCTCAGTATTCGTCATCCCTGACAGTGGCATTGACATCGATTCTGCTGCTATTCTGGCCATAGGCAACGCGGTATGTAACAATGACGACAGGAAGAGAAAACTAAGAATTTGGGCACGAAGTGTCTTCTCAGAGAGCGACTCCGACCTGAGCTGCAAGCTGAGTAGAGCCGAGCATGGGTTAACATTTGGTATGAACCACGTGACCCAGAGCGCTCTCGCGGCCTCCTTCGATGCGGCTGATGCCGACGGCAGTGGCGAGATTACAAAGGCTGAATTTCTCGGTGCAATGATTGGTTATTTCTGTAATAAATCTGAGGATTCTGCATTGTTCGGACCGTAGATTAAAACTCAGGCCTCACCTGTATCTTCAACATGAGAGATTTTAAAGAGAAAAATTCATCCAGAACTTCTCCGCAACATACCTTTCGATCTTATTCAACCGATAGTACACGTTAGACTGTATAGACTGTTTTTACAAAGGAAAAAAAAAGACTACTTTCTAAATATAGTTGGTACAAGAAAATTTAATGGGAAATGTGGCGTGTTACAACAAATCACCTACAGGCTGAGAAAAGTTATCTCAATAAAACTTCTCTAAAAATCTTTCCTGTTTTATGTGTACGTTAATTCAGCCCAGTCAATACACATAAAGTCAAATCTTTGACAATGAACCCGACCAAAAGCGACCATGTAGTTTGAAATAAGAAAGGGCGTTGTTTCATGTTTCCCGAAAATATACATTTTATCAGATATTTTCTGCTTTCTTTCTGCACTATATACATGTACATGTATAACCCTCCGCCGTTTTTTGCCCCAAGTCTCACTTAAATGATAAAAGCTAACTAGTGAGCACGCAGCACTAATAAACGATACATTACTACGTCACTTGGCGAACTTTCGCGGACTTGATGGGCCCAATAAAGGTGCAGTTTTAAAGCTATTTTATTTTTTGGCTGAAGGAGGAATTGATTTGGGGTATCCTTTGGCATGCATTCTGTATCTCCTCTGCATCAGACGGTAGTATATGTATAAGCTATCAAAGTAGAATGAAGCCACCTTGCAATGAAATCCATAAACGCTTGGATGATCTCGTTTTAAATGTTTTAAAATCAAAACGTCTCACCACGCTTAGCTGCCATCTTTATATCTAGGTGAGCAGCAAGTAGGTGTTGGTTCTTTTTCCAGAAGACCGTCAGGTACCAGGGGCAGATCCAGAGATATTTTCTGACAGTCTTCCAAATTATCTTTGTTGATCCATCTTCCATTTTTGACCGTCTTCCAAAAGAAAACATTAGATTACTGACAATTTAAACTTGAAAATCTGACCGTCTTTCAGAAGACCTAGAAGACGGCCTAAATCCGCCCCTGGGTACGATGTTTATGCAAACGCGTAGGGTTGGGTTCTATTGTTAGTATAAACCAAACTCCGTATGGACGACAATGATATTGCCATGGTTACCGGGCCATTGGTAAACATACCCGTGCCATTGGATGAGTTTACGTTAACTGTGACACTATATGCGTTAAAAATGCAAATTTGGATATTGAGAGAAATCTAATAGATTTTACATTTGGTCTTCTGAAAATGCTCCATAATCTCGTTTTATATCTTTCAAATGTGCATACCTTTCCCTATTCAGATCGTTAACCCCTCCCCATCAAAATGATTGATAGATGGACAAGTTGTCGATCTTCCCTAATGCACAATGTCTGACCAGTCAAATAAAACAAATTATATATTTCAGTTGAAATGAGCTATTATTGTGGGGGCACATGTAGGAGAAAACTTTTTGTGTGCAAATTTGAATTTTTTCCCTAAGATACCGGATAGTACTCGCATTTTCTTATGATTGAATATATGAATGAATCAAAATATATTTATGATTAAGCGATCTTAAAATTCGATTATAGATAGTAAATTGCAATTCATTAAATAAATAAATAAATAAATAAATAAATAAATAAATAAAAAGCACACCTACATCGAAGAGTTTGCCTGTTGCGACACCTGTTGACATAGTAGCTGTTATAGGGGAATATCGCCTGGAGAAGGGAGTACACTGCAGATGTCGTTACCCTTCAGGCTTTCCTTGGTGCTGGCAGAACCGTTCTTGCCGTTCACAGAGGTTCGAGAGATGTTGGCGAAGAAATAACTATTTGCAGTAAATTATGACATATATTAATGACAATTAATGATAATTAATGACAATTACACAAACATAGACACAGACAGAGAAATGTAATGAAATAAAATTAAAAATGAATAAATAAAGGTTTAGAAACATTTTTTGCAAGTAAAAGGTGATCATTTGTTAATAAAAGCACATTGGGATGGGACAACCTTTTTGAACAATGAAGATGACCTTTTTGGAAATGAAGTTCTCAAGCTTGTTATCGATCTGTTTTGGCACATTTCAACTCGTGACGTAGATTCAACTGCTTCTGGAACTATTGCAGTGCATATAGAAGGTTGAATGCGGTTGTGTCCGCACGCACTCATCCGCTGAAACATTGGTACATTGTAACAGTTCGCTGACTGGCGACATTTATGTAACACACGTGTCAGCTTTGTGGTCTCACAAAGATTACTATATAGACTTTCAAATGTGAAAAAGTGCACTCGCGTTTTTAAAGGGTGAAAGTACAATGAAAATGCATGATAACTGTGAAATAATAACTGTGGTCACGTCACTCAGTTGTCAGAATTACGCTCGGCACTTTATCAGGGTATATTATTAAGGTTGCGAAAACTACTAGTATACAAAAAGAGTTAGATAATAAAAGTTAGTAATTGTTCTAAGGCATCGGAGGCAACAAAAACAATGACAAACAAGAGACGTCCCTAATTTTGCTTCCTCAAAGTATGACATCAGTGCTTATGTAAGAAAACTTCCATCCTTCACGTCTACCCTTGTACGCGGGCGTTTCGGCTTGATCCTGTTCACCACTTAACGTTAAAATCCACCACATACCAGTACACCAAACCCAAACGATGGCCAGCTTTAAGCCGTTTCTCCTCCTGTTGGCTTTGAGCACTTGCTTGTTGTTAGCGGACGCATTACGCAAAAGACCCACGCTTGCGCAGCCGTCTCGAGAGTTGGAAACTCTGTATGAAGATGTCCTAAGCAGAGAATTTCAAGACGTTCTCAACGAGAAGCTATTGGAACTAAGAGCGGTAAGTCACATGGTTCGTAGCGTTTATCCCTCAACCTTATTTCCAACTGATTCTATGTGGTCAAGGATTTTTGTTTTTCAGTTTCTGGAGTTTGATGTTGCCTCGTCTTTATTAGTCACTTCTGGTTGCCTCTACTGCGTCGTTTTGAAGGCTTAGGTCGCGATCAACAGGATCATAAAGATCATTATTAAGGGATCATTTTTAAGACCTATCTTACACTCCTTGCCTCCCATTGTACTCAGCACTCTATACATTCCGACCAATCAGAGAGCGGCAAACGGGCACCACCCTTAAGTGTTGCGTCTCCTGCTTATGTAGCTTCTTGGTCAAGCCTGGCATCAAGTTCCTTGCCATTATGGACGTGGTTCCCTCCGAGTTGTTCACAGCTTAAATGCATGCATTAAATTTAAATCAATTAGATAGTTGTTGAAATTTTTCAACTCGGAGTTTAAGACGTGATAAATAATTATAAGGCTTAGTACTTTTTGGTGGTAGTGCAGTTAGCCCAAGTTGTTATGGTCATCTGGACATACATGTACTAAGTATCGGTGATAATTGCAAAATGAAAATTTTTAACACTCTAAATTCATGACAATATATCACTTTATTGACTACTTGGATGATGTACTTCTTGGACATTTCGTTTTCCTGGATGTACTTATACTCCTGTGGTGTTTTTCAAAGAATGAGGCTGAAGAAAATGAAATAAATTGTCATTGACAAAAAATCGCTAGACCATAATGAAATGTTCCTTACGGCTATCCTATTTCAGAAATTATCTGACAAACACGTTATTTTTTGTTTTTATTTTTATTTTTTTGCTAGTTGTTGCTTTCAGCCACTTTTTAAACTTGTTTATTTATCATATAAATTTTAATTTATATGAATTAAAATTTAAATTTTATTATAATTTAAATATCATATAAATCTCAATTTATATGAATTAAAATTTTCTATCATACCTGGCTCCACCAGCGGTATGGGTTAGAAAACTGCGTCGATTCGGCCGCCTTTTCGACCTTGACGGGGACGGCGTTGTGACCAAAGACGAAGTCGTTCAAAAGACCGTAGAGGAAGCGGGAGACGCCCTTGACGGGGTAATGGCCGCAGAAGTCGCCGACGTTGTGGCCGAGGCATGGAGCACAGTGTTCGCTATGCCGGACGACGGAATTGACGTCAATTCTGATGATGTGTTGGGGGCAGGACATTGCAGCAGTGATCTCAGGAAGAGGAAGCTAAGAATGTGGGCACGAAGCGTCTTCCAAGTGGTCGACACGAACCACGACTGTAAGCTCAGTGCAGCGGAACACGAGTTCATGTTTAAGATTTTCTTTCATGTTCCCCAGGCCGCTATTGCAGCATCCTTCCATGGAGCTGACTTCAACAACAATGGCGAACTCGCAAAGATCGAATTTGTCAATGCAATTGTAGGGTATTTCTGTAATAAATTACAGGATTCTGCATTGTTTGGGCCGTAGGTAAAAAATATAAAAAATAAAATAAAATCAGGCCTTACCTGTCTCTTCAACATGAGAGATTATAAGGTAAAATATATATCCAATTAACTTCCACAACATGACATTTAAGTGTGATCTTACCGTATATGTTCAGGAAGACTATATAGCCCAACTATCACTGCAAGGACAAAAAAGACTTATTTCTAAGAAGTTCTTACAAGAACCTATAATTCAAATTTAGTACAACAAGTCGCCAACAGGTTGAGCAAAATATCTTAATAAAATTATTCTAAAATGTTTTCTGTTCTATTTCTATGTTAACACCGTCAATTAAAACAAGTCAAAGCCTTATAGCCCGGATTCATTGTGTAATAGCAGCTGCATCTCAGTTTTCATAGGAAGTTTGGAAATAATAAAAAGCTTGGATACCATTACCCTCTACCAGGGCGACAGATTGATTTTCCACAGATATTCACAGCTATGTCTATAGATAAATAGACAGTCATTTTTGTCCACAATAATAACTGCGGCAAAGGTAGAGGGTAGGCTACCATCACGGAACAAATGGTTTCAGCTTCAAGACCTCTTGGTTGCTTTTTTCATTACAGTCACCTCTAAATATTTTTTAAAAAGATGAGTTGTAAAAAGATGAGTTTGTTTTCCTTGGTGACGAGGGGAAACTTGCTGAAACGTTTAGTTTGTTCAAGGAGTTATAACAGATATACAGGGTTACCACTTAATATGGAATATTATTTTTTGGCGAGTAAATTTTCTACAAAATATTTAATTTCTCTCTAACTACTTTAAATCCAAAGCTGAGGTGTCACTCCATGTGTTTCTCCTTGGTTTGT